TGATAATATATTAGTATGTAGTGATATTATTACATGGATGTTGTATTATTGGTTTTTATGAATTTTTTTTTAAATGATTTGTCATCATCAAAAAGGGGGAGATTGTTGGCTTATTGGCCCTTGATCTCACATTAATTAATTTCAATGAATTAATTATTGATGTTTTGATGATAACAAACCTACTTTTAATTATTAACTATTTTCAGTTTTTTGAACTGTCCACAGTATAAGGTCGGGAATAACGATTACAACAACTTTTCAATTACTCAAATCAGAGCTAAAACGAAGAAATTAGAGTCGAGACAACATACCCGACGTGATGATGTGGCAACAAAATCAAAATGATGGACAAATCAAAATATATCAAAGTATGACATTTATAATATTGGAAGAGTAACACATGGTGGAGTTTTTCTTATTATTACATTTCTAAATAAAATTATTTTTACAAATATAAATTTGAATATAACCGTTACTCACATCGAATTTTATTATTACTATATTATATTATTATATTATTATATTTTAAAATTTTGGTAGTTACTCACATCATTTTTATTATTATTATATTATTATATTTATAATAAATTTTGAATTACATTTTACCGTTACTCACATAACTTTTTATTATTATTATATTATATTACTATTATATTAAAATTTTGAAATAAATGAATTTAGAAAATTTTCTTACTTAATTACTTTTAATCTCCACCTTCCATTATTCCTAACACAATCCAATGGTCAATATTCAATCCTACATTTTGCCACTTTTCTCCTCTATATAAACTCATCTTCCCCACATTTTTAAAATATACAACTTACATACATTCTTCAATCCTCATTTGTTCAAAGTCTCCATTGTTTATTGCTCTCTCCAAGCTTACAAGTTTATTTCTTTTCATCTTATTCTTGAGAGGGATTATTATTATATTGTGAGGAAATAGTTGTCAGTATCCCAAATTGTAAATCTACTCTTTGAGAGAGTTGTGGTGTGTTATTATCAAACTCAAATACTTGTATCGGTTTGATCCTGCGTCGTTGAAAGGATTGAGTTTGCTCTTGAACTCGTAAAAAGAGCGGTGTACCGGTTTGGCTCTGATCCGTGGAAAGAGTCGGAAAAGTTCTTTATTCAAATTCCCAAGAGGCGCTTGGGGAGTGGAGTAGGTCGAGTTTGACCGAACCACTATAAAACTACGGTGTCATTTTCTCTAACTCTTTCCTATTTAATTTCAAGATTATTATTATGTTTATTGCATGTTCTACTTGATTATTGTTTTGACTTGAATTATTTTGTTTTAGTAATTATCATCTTCTACTTATTTGTAAAAAGTTTTATCAATAGAAAAATTAATCAAGTTTAAACACTTTTATCGTTAAAACCCTATTCACCCCCCCTCTAGGGTTGCCATACCGATCCAACATCTAGAATACTCAGTAAGTGACCCCCCATCGGGTTATGCAACAATCATATGCAATGAAATGATGAGACCTATCGTTTCATTTCGTTTTCCCTACGGTGCAGTCCTAACGGATAATCGTGGATGTGTATCATATACTTTACACAGCTCATACGTGCGAGTGTGGGCTCACTAGCTAGTTCGCACACCGCTGGGCCACTTTCCTTATCCGGTGGGCATACTCTGGGAGCCCCTTATGTCGGGACCCGTTAAAACTAGAACTGTCACAGCAGCGGCAAAGCATAACGATCGTTGTCCTGCCATTGGATGTACGCATCCGTACCCTCGTGATGGGATAGGGGTATCCCCCCAAATGCATGAACACACCTAATGCATGAGGTTTCCCTACTTCTACATTTATCATTAATGATCATAACCCCCTGTCACGTTCCATGCTTCATGTCATTCTCATTTTCAATTCACATTTCCTACATATTCCTATCGGGGTTATGATTCCAAACAGTTTACCGTGTTTCATGTCATACATTTCATGCTGTTTACATTCACATATTTCATACAATTATGCCACAATCATTCAAGGATCACATATCGTCACATGCATAACATATCACATCAAACTAAGCAGCATACATAGCATACATTCACGTTCACATGAGTTCGTACTTAAGCACATTAAACTAGCATACAATTTAATGACACATACAAATCCATGGGCACGTGCCAACATACAGCAAATAACGCGTAACCTACGACGGGTGAGCCACTTACCTGGTTAGCTTAAGTCGTTGTCACGTATATATCTTTAATGAAAGTTCGATTCCGTCGTTTGAAATCTAAGTCAACCTATGTGAGCCCATAACATCAGTTTCAAGATTGAACTCTGTAAAATTATTTCTCTAATTTACATAATTAAATTTCTGATATTTTTGTTAGACAAAATTTAATGGAGTCATGCTCTGATATTTCCTATTTTATTTTAAATTTTGTTCAACAAATCTTCTCTTTCTCCTTCTTTGTAATTAATAAATAGATTTTCAGTTCAGTAAACATTAGATATTCCTCTAATTCTATATTTATTTTCATTTTGTAAACAAATATTGTTGACTAATTTTAATGGATTGGCTACTATATTACCCAGATTTGCCAACTAAAGATTCTAACCTTATTTTCTATAACTTCCCATGCTAACAAAAAAAAATCTAATTAATTTAATTCTATTTTTATTTTTATTCAATAAACAAATATTGTTGGTTAATTTTCATCCATTGTTTCACTACTATCTTACCAATTTATGGATTTGCCAACTAAAATTTTATTGATTCTAACCTTATTTCTTATAACTCCCATGCTAACAAAAAAAATCTAATTAATTGAATATGAGATCATGATCTACTAAAATATGAAAGAAGATTGGATCCTAAATTGATTTCTTATAACCATAACTATATAGAGTAAAAAGGAAATCTGATAGGATTTTACGTAATAACAGACCAAAAACTCTCCAGTAGATCTGCATCATATCCTTGTTTAAACACCATTTTACTCTTTCCTGACATTTTTTTTTCTGTTTATTTTTTGATGAACTGTGATATGGGGTTGAGATTATTATTATTATTATTATTATTATTATTTTGGGCTATTACAGCATCATTTTTCTATGTTTCGAGACATCTGAATGAAACACCTAACGTTTTTTTTGCAAAAATCATTTTTTGTGTATACTCTTGTTAATTAGCTTACTAATCTCTTTTCATGATTCTATCTCAATAGTAATTTAAACCTTTCTAAATTCTAAACATGTTATGAATCATCCATGCATCAAATGGCATTCGCCAAGTGTTCATTGTCAACGGCTTAACCAATAATGTAACTCAATGCATTAATATCTTTTCTTTAATGTAACTCAATGCATTAATAACCTCACTCATATTTAAATTCAATAAACATGTTTTTTCTTATTAAATATTAATTTAAACCTTTCAAATTTTCTTAAAATTAATTTATTAAACTATAAGTCAATTTCATTCATAGATCAAGATATGTCCATAAATATAATCATTATATGCAACTTGATTCTTCATCCTTAGAAATTTCAATCGAATAAAAAATTCATTTGGTATTTATAACTAATTATATATTAAGTCTCTCTCAAATCCGTGAAAAGGTAAAATCCTATTGTCCAAGTCTTGAAATTATCTCTTAAAAAAGAAAATTCATCTACTTTTCTATGTGAGAAGAAATGAATTCTATCTCGTAAATTTAGGTAGCAACTCCGTATTTGGTCTATTCCATAAAAGTGTAGACTTATTAAATTAGATAGGAAGGTCATTTCACCCATGCAAGTCAAAAGAACCAGCCCCATAAATAGAAGTTTAAAATTAAAATCAAGATTATTTTTTTCAATTGAGAGATTAACAAAATGGATTAAATATTTTGTGGTTTAAATTTATACAAACTCATCGTATATAATATCTTGACTTACATATCTCTACGTAAAAATTATAAAATGGGTCATATCAACTAAGAATCTGATTATAATTCTTTAGTACATCAACTTCATGTTGCTCAATATAAGATAAAAAATTATTTTATAAACAAATAAAAATATTTAATTACACAAGCTTTAAAACACAATACTCATCAATAGCTTATACTTTTGTATCTTACTTCTATACTTTGTACTTTTCTTTTCGTTAATGGTAAACAATGTTTTGATTGTTATAAAAACAATTTTCTTATTCGACTCTAACATAAATAAAATGTTTCATACACAAATTCACAAAACTTCCACCATAAAATTGAGGGGGAGAGCAAATATGTTTCATACTCTAAACACAGGTTTTTGATTCCTAGGCTTCCCATTCTACACTTCAAATATGTTTTTCTAAATCTCAGATCTCTCCAAACAAACCTAGAAGGGTTCTAATTCCAATGGTTTTATTTATCTTAAACAAGAGCCAAACACAGCTAAGTCTCGCACCACCTATTTTCATTCATCCTCCCTAACCAAGGTAGATCTAATTCGAAAATAATATATGCATTACATTCATTTTTAATTAACCTTTCATCATATAATACCAACACATATATTTTGCCCAAGCTTAGTGTAGAGATATAGAACCAAACATGAGAGCGAGATTGATAAAAGTATAATGCAAGTTACAACTTTTTCCCTTTCTCTCAACATTTGAAAGTTGTCAGACCACGCAAAGTAATCCAAGAATGTGCCATTCTTCCTCTTGCATTAAATTTCATAGGAGATCCCAAAACAAACAAAACAAACAAAAAATCATTATGGCGTTTCACATTCACAAGTCATCAGAGGAAGTCCTGTATGCAGAGTGAGAAATTAAAAAAAAAAAAAAAAAAAAAAAAAAAAAAAAAAAAAAAAAAAAAAAAAAAA